GCGCGGGTCGAGCGCGCACGCGCGATTGGGGTGGCAGGGTCGGAGGGGTCGCGCAACTGGCGTAACTGGGGGCGGCCACCCACGATCCTACAGGCGCACCTAACCACATACATCTAACCACAACTACACGCGTAACACGAGTGGGGATGGCCACCCAGGGACACAGAGGTACCTAATTCCAGCAGCAACTCGAGTAGGGATAGTCGCCCAGGAACACAGCTGGTCACACCTACAGAAATATACACACCCGGGGCCAGAGTGGAGACAGGCCCCCTGAGACAGATGGTCACAGGCGCACATACACGCGAAGCACGAGTGCAGTTAGATCCACCTTCACATACCGAGAGAGACACTAAACTAGGCCCTCCCACCCAAATTGCTACACACCTAGGGACACACACATTTGGTCTTAGCTACATTCTCTTCATTAAAGTCCCACAGCCAAGACCCACTGCCCTCCTACAGACCTAGCCACACCGCACATACAGCGCTCCCACACAAAGGCTGGGGACCCAGAGCACCACCCTCACACCCCAGCACACAGGGTCAAGTCTCAGCCACCAACCAGCACACTGGGGAGCGAGCACTGCTAACAGGCCTAAGGACACCTGGAGGCAGCAGTGGGTACTTGAGGTGGGGGGTGTTGACTACTGGCCACTCTGTTGCCCTATGTGGCTGCATCCCACGTTTTAGTGTCCCCTTGTGGAGCTCAGGGACGCCATTGGGCTCCAGCCCCCAGGGGGTAGGCGTGATTGGGGCTGAATGTCTTCCAGGAAAGAGGGCCCTCAGAGGGTGGGAGGCCCAGCGCCAGAACACTTGTGGCCACGTACAGGGTGGGAGGGGGCGGCCAGGCTGTCACTCGTGGGCGTTTCTGTGAAAGTAGACGAGATTTCCTGTGCACGGTGTGTGTGTGACGCACACAAGATGTCCCAGTGCTGAGTCCTCCGAGGTCCTGAAGGCTGAGCCCCCCAGTGCCAGTTTCTGGGGTTATGGGTGAGCGGGTGCGCGTGTGGGAAGGGCGTGGTTTCCAGGGACTTGTACGGTGTATTCCCCACCCCGGTCGTGTGTGGGTCTCTGGACAGGAGCACCCCTCCACAGCTGGGCTCCCCTACAGTGACGCCCCACCCAGGCCTCCAGGAGGGCAGCAAAGGAAGGGAAGGGCGGGCGGTTCAGCTCCGCCTCCTCCCCGCCCGCGGGGCCCGGCCAGGGGCGGACGCCGGGCGGCCTTCCCACTTCCCGTCCAGCCACCGTCCCCTCCCCCGCTTCCTCTACTTTGGGCGCTCGGCAGAGCCGGCGCGGTGGGGGTGCTGCACTGCGCACCGATTGGGTCAGGGGAGGCCGTACGGGTCCCCGGGGCCACCTGGGGGTGCTGGCGGCTAGGACCCCTTCCTCTTGGCAACGACCCCTTCCACCCTTCCCTAGGGGCACAGAGGGTGTGGCGCGCGGAAGGACA